AATCGCAATAAATGAACGAATGTTAGGTGGGAAATCATTTGTGGATTGAGAAAATGCATGACTTTATCAAAATTGATTGCAGCGTTGTTCCTAAGGATAGGTTCGTTCGCGATAGTTCCCGAGGGATTTTTTAAATCGCAAAAAAAACAGCCACAATAGGATGAAAGAAGAATTTATGGCTATCATGCTGAAACAGAATAATTCTTTACGTACATAGATTGAATGTTTGGCAGTTGCAGCATCGCTCCTTCAGCCACACACCGAATGCTATTATTGTTCAAATGCCTGAAGAATATTACTCGTTTAGAATATCACTTTGAACATACGATACAAACTTATAAGAAGTCAACATCAAATGCAGTTGTTTGTTACCAATAAACCATTCCATTCGTTTCGTCTTGCACAAGGAAAACAAACGAATAATCAATTACTAACTGATTAGGATGAGAATTTTGCAACTTATTGCCTACGTGGAACGTAGAAGTGTGGATGAACCGCAAATGGATACATTCGATATGATTGTTATTCAATAAACTAGAAATTAATGGATTGGTTCAAATAAAGATGAACGGATATCAACAGTGACAAACTGATGTTGAAAATACAAATCGGTTTGACCTAGTTGCTCGACGAGGAACAACTTTTTGAATGGAAGTGGGAACATCGCCGGGGAGCGAAGCAGCTGGAAGATGGACTCCGACCAAAAAATAGGGAAGCAAATTGGCTAGGGAGGGACCCCGACCAAAACTCAGGGAAGAGAAATGTCGGGGAGAGAAGCTGTATTGTTCCTTAACGAACACTGCTTTGACCGCAATCTTAGAAGTTATATTACGACATGCAGCAGCTGGCAATTCGATAGCTAAATTCAGAATCGAAATGTTATTTTTCGACGGGTTTGCTGCTTAAATTCGTCCGCGTGATTGTCAGCAAATGCATTCTTCAATCTATCACCGTAACAGATATTCAATAGAAAAGAATTCGCGCAATTTGAGACTATTCGAGCTGTTCGATCGGCTAAGACTAGCAAAACATGTTGGTTGCAAGATGTAACGTTAAGCATCTTATAATGATCACACTCGCAATTGCCGGATGCTCGTTTACCTGGCTAAAACTCTGGAAATTCAGTCTCACTACAACAGCAATGTTTAGAAGGGTTGCAAAACTTCTGCGGAATGGGTTGTACGTGATCAAAATTATTGAAAGAGGACGGTATAAATTAAAGAACTGAGTTGTGTTGAGCAATCAGACACAAGCCATTTGTGACTTTTTATTCGATCAACCACTAAACTAAGAGGAAACGAATGAACAGAATAATAAATATAATTATACAAGTGCAAGCAGAATTTTTCATCAGAGCAACGTAAACCAACTTACAGTGTCTTCAACTGAGAGGGAGAATGTCCGATTTGAATTGCAGAAAAGTGACGCAATTTGTTCTCACTCAGATCCCTGAAAGCTATTTTATAAATATGAGTGAAAGGAAAAAGAGTTTCTGCACGTTCAAATATTCAATGAAACTCATGCTTAGAATCAGAAAAATACTTAGAATAGAAAAATTCAATGGAAANGGGGGTGGTCAAAATATTAAATTCAGAAAGTATAGAAACATCCAACGGAAAAACTAGTAGCTAAATTCATTAAAGCTCAAAATAAACTTTTGCTTTCTTTGATCCAAAAACTTTTGACGTGAGAGCCAAAAGCTTTTTTTGTTGAAATTTGAAAAATTAAGGAGGACGGTATAGATTAAAGAACGTAAAGAATCCTACTAAAAAGAAGCTTTCACATCTTGGAATTTATTGTCTTCCATACAACAGTTAATGAATGAACTTGTTATGAATGTTCAATGTTCGTATAATTTTCAGTGCTTAATGATCAAGATTAACGGGTTTTTCTCAAACACAAACAGAAGTTCGGCAAAACTCAAATTGCTTACAATTTTTTCAGATTCACGAGTCGTCGAAGGCTGGCTGAATTGCGAATTGAACTAAGTTTGTTGTGCGATAGATTAAGTTCAGTTGTGAACATCGGAATATTTGGGGGAATTTCCATTAAGCCACGTTTACTGCAAATGACTTAAGTTCTTCGAGCTATGCGCCCAAAATAGAGCTCGCGATTGTAATGAACGGAAAGTTATTTCGACATAAACTCTTAGAGTAAATGGAATCCAACGTTCCTGAATTATTTCAGGTGTGTGAAAAAGTTCGAATAAGAAATCAAATTGGATAACCTGCAGTCAATAACTGATCCGCGACATGAACATTCCACCGGACAACCATAATCTAGTATGCATTCATCAGCTCTAGCAGTTACGAAATTTTCGGTACCTAAAATCGTCACTAGAATAAGTTTGAGAATGAGCAGTGAAAAAGATTTATACCACGAAACCACTGGACAATATAGGCAAGTATGTGGAGTTATTCGTGAGAAATCAGTCGTATCAGAGTGTGTCATCAAGATATTGAATCAGTGCATGTCAGCTTCATCAAGTGCAACGCAATAGTGTACTTGTGCAGCAAAAATCACCTTTGCAACGAAACTTCGAGTGATGAAGTGTCGCTAAGCGTCGACGAGCAAGACGTTTCGGTGATTCACACCTTGCACCGCTTGTTTCAACTGCTCGATGGGAAAGCAGTATGGCGAGCCATTCCTTCAAGTGAAATTCACTTTATTCTTCAGAATCTTAGATTTGCAGCAACTTTTAGAATTATGCAATAATTTGATTCATTTAGCACTCACGATTGGAGCAATCGACGAGGTATGACTGTTGAAATCCGAAGCTTAAGTGTTCTTACTACAGTTCTGTCTTCGTTTGGTGAATCCTTTGATAACATGAAACCCCTCGTTATAAAATGCTAGAAAGTTGGTACGGGATTTGAACTGTAGCAAAAAAACAGCGGATAAATTAAATCCACTTAAGAGGTTTCAATGGGATTTATTTGAGCATTATGTGCCTCATTAAAAAGCACTTAAAGCCTACCAGCAATACAAAAGCGTGCATCACTATAAATGTACGCAATAAATCAAACATTTCAACATTAAGATTACTTTAGAACCTACAAGAGAACCGTTTTGAATTTTACTATTCCCTAGAAAGTATCTACACAATTTAAAAGCGAGAGATGCTCATAAGAGTGTGGAGTAAAAAAGCAGCTGCACCGAATCGCTTCAGAATATTGTTCCAACCGATAAATAATAGAACGAATCAAATAAAAACTCGAACCAAATTGCAGTCACAAATGATCGGATTCCGTGCCAAATGCAGAGTCATCAAATTGGTGAGGCCGTCGAAAGTTCCATTCGCGATTGATTTGATGTTGTTATCGTAAAGTGATAGCAAATTCAGATTCGTCAAATTTTTGAATGTTTCCTTTCGCAGACATTGCAACTTATTGGCATTCATCAAAAGAAGCTGTAGATTGAAGAGACCTTGGAAGGCTTCAGATGGCAGATCGGTGAGACTGTTGCCATAGAGAACTCTCAATAAAGTAGTCAACATTGATTTGAGCAATTCTCTTCTGATAATTAATCACCGAAAGTAAGAAGTAATCTACTACTCACATGAAATACAGAACCCAAGAAGGAAGAATGCACAGTTTGCTATGAGTGGTTGTACATGACTCATTCAACAATTAAGAATCAATGAACAAAGCAAAACTGACATAACGCACTATGTTAAACAATAATGCGGATGCACATATTGAACTAATGAAAACTAACAGTGAATTCAGTGAGCGTAGGCCATCGAATGCTCTCGGTGCTATTTCAACGATACTATTTTTGCTCAGATCTCTGCAATTTTTCCAAGTATTGCCAAAAATTATTTAAAATATTCACAGATCACGGAAAATAATATGAGAAATTGGTAAAATTCAATAGACTTGAAAAAAAATAAAAAGGCTCACAGTCGTTTCAGTCGATACAGATTGTGGAAGGCACGAGGCGGAATGTACGTAATCTGGTTTTGCTCAAGCCTCCTAAAATTGAGTATTATCAGCAGTCATTTGCAAATGAACGTTCACGGAAGAGCAGATGAAGGATCAACTCAGGTAAATAGGAAACTTTAAATTGAACATAAACTGGCATCGGATATCTGGAATGGCAACATACAATTCGAGAACGGATGATGGTAAATTGGTTGGTATATGCGTAAGACCACGATCTCTGCAGTCAACTGTAGTTTCCGTGCATGAACATACAGATGGACACACAGCTGCATCACGACATGAACTTGCCGCACGCTTCTCAATTCCAGAGCATTTCATCGCCTGAATTCAATTATATTTGGAAATTAATATCTTGCTTCAAATTCTGTCAACTATCCAAATGTTATAATATTATGTGTTCATAGTTTTTGACTCTTAAAATTTCTGCTCATAAGAAGCAAGCTTAAGACAGTAAAGTATGATACTCTAAGCTAAGGAAGCAAAGTATAAGATTGGAAGCAAGCTTCTCAAAAATAGACATTCTTAATTTAGCAAAAATCATTCATAAATCGAACCACGCTTCATATATGCGTATGGAAAATATTGCTGAATTAGCGTTCACGAGTATATTTTTTATTAATCGCTCCTATTGGAGGTTCCTATTGAGGTTTCTATTGATTGGAGGTTCCTATTAAAAGATAAACGGAATATGTGAACAGTATTGAATATTGATTTTTGTCTTCAGCTGAGAGCAATTCAATGGTTAGCAGAAGATGTAATATAAACTTTAATCGGATTTGAGAAGGAAATCGTCGAAAAACACTTGTTATATGAGTGGCCAAAGTGAAGAAATTTTTTGAAACTGCTTATTAAGTATTGCTTTATTTTTCGATGCACAGCAATGCTCGTTCTGCAAATAATGACTGCTGAACGGATCGTCAAATTATTGTCAACCTGTTCATTTATTCATCCGTAAGTCAGAAAATGCTAAAAGACTAAGCAGATGAAAAACAGACTAACTACAAAGTAAACAAATGAATTTCAATTTCTTCGACACTGTTTTTCTCCACATAGAGAATTCCAATTGCTCACTACCGTAAGAATTGGAAACAAGCTAAGAGAAGCAACTGAATTAAAACAAAACAATATGTGAAATTTAATTTGAGGTAAAACCAAACGTGTTCGTCAATAGTAGCAATTGTTCTTGAATAATGGTGTGCTGGTCGATGACATCGACTGTTCAGTGCTAACGTTGGATGAGCATCAATTAATTTTTTCATCCATCTTAAGCGACAATCGCACAGCCATGGATTATCAGCAAGACGTCTGAAAAAATTTTAGATTTTCAGCAGTCAAACGGCTTCCAATTTTTTTGCTCTTCCGATGGTGCCGAGACAGAATCTGTCAGTCATACAAAATCAAGAAGCATTCCGATGAAATCCAATGGATGCATGCTTGCTATGACCATTGTCCACCTCTTTTTCTTTACACGATGTTGAAAAGGAGTTCCAATGTTTCAAAACCAGTAACAACTTGATGAAATGTGAACACTTACCAAAACATTTGACCTCATCAGTTTAAAGTTTTTTAGTTGTATAATATTGATTAAGAAAGCGAAAAAATTCCTTTATAAATGTGATATATATTAAATACATACAAAACTCGAAGGTTTGCCATCGGAGTGATATCACCAAGTGTACTGAGGTTGTTCGCATTCAAAGTTAGGATCTCCATTTGAGACCATGATGACAAGATGTGGTTATCGATACTGCAAAAAAACTGATTGTACTAATCTAGCCATATCCGATCGTGATTGTAACTACGCTTATTACAAGCAAATTCATATAGCGATTTCATTCAGTTATAGAATACGGAATCGCTCATTGTGGTCAATCCTAAACGTGTAACATTTACGCGTTCCATCACTTTACGAGGTTCAATTAAACGTTCCCAACTAACCAACCATGTGAGCAAATTTTTATCCAACTGCAAATTCCTCATGTTGACAGGCCCTTGTAGTTGGTCATCCGTCAAAACGGTAAGGAAATTCTCACTCAAATCCCTGAAACAATGTGTTTATCAGTTTGCATGTTTCTATTTAGGCACCTGATCCGAAGCAGAGTTTACTGCGTTCATATAGATTCTAACAGTGCAAATAATGCAATTTGGAAGCTGAGTTCCAGCGTCTGGATGTTCTTTTTGTTTTCAAATTCTAAATCTAGAAGCGCACACTCAGCGAGCAAGCAAACTTCAATCTGTGAGCGCAATTTGCTAACAACGTTGACTTTCCATAGCATAGTGGTACCGAAAATGGCAATGTGTTTCTTCATAAGAAACTACCGGAATAAGTTCGGAATTACGAATACCATACAGTTTCTTCCATTTGCTTTCATGTACACTGTGGTACAGTTACTTCCAAAGATTCGAAAGATTTGATCAAAACCGAGATTGTGAGGATCGTTTTATACAGATTAAAATATTGAGCATCAGTGGGTTCGGTTTATTTTTCTATTAAATGAAGTGATCTTGCACTCAAATATTCAAAGTTGACTCATTCTGTGAAAATAGACCACTGCAGTTTACAATAGCTGTTTTTGATTTATTCTCATTCTTGAATTGCACTTTTCGTTTGAATACATTTGAGATATCATTTCAATAAATTTGGATTGAGTGAGGCTGCTAAGAATTGCACAATGAAGGTGATGAAGAAAATGAAACTGATAAATTAAACTTTATAATCAAATCGGGAACATTATTCATCAAATGCCACCTATATACTGTTATTCACTAATTCGTTTACACAGTTCATTCTCATTGTGATTGTCTCTTCATAAGTATATGCAAAAGAAAAGTATGCAGTTGTGTGAAGATGTACCGCATTAATGAATGCCACTCATTAAAATGCTTTATGCAAACAACGCAAAATGTTTATTCCCTTCTGGTGCTCGCTCTATTGCCCCTTAAAACTTTCTCATAGCTCGCATATTTGTATTTACACAAAATTACTAATCAACCAAAATACATTAATCTAGATCAGAAAGCTGAAAATTTTGATTGCTTCCGTTGGTGAAAAACTATTTTTGATTGTTTCATAATAATTATATATCACAGCTTCGATTTCTGCACTCGTGAAAAAGGCAGCAAAAAAGTGTCCGTTCAAGTAAATCAATTTTGTACTGCTTCGAAAGCATCAGAGAAAGTCTCGAACTTCTTGTTTAGTATTTGTGGAAAAATGACAAAATATCACATATGCGAAATAACTGAATGAGATATCAACTGTCGAGAACGATCGAAAGTTCCCTTATACCAAGTGAGCAATTGTAACAAAATTAGTGCTAACAGCACTTCTAGCTCCTCCAACAAATGTTCATTTCTGAAGCTAAAATGTTAATGTGGAAGATTTTACAAACAACAGTCCTCTACATATTGATCTTTTTTCTTGTGAATGAAATTTATGAACGAGGAGGGGAAGTAGTATGGGTTTTGTTGGCTCGAACATTTGATTGCAACAAATGTTGGAGTCAGCAGTGCTCAAAAAACCCCTCTTGGTTGTGATGGACTACCGTGGATAGCTATGTAGAAATGCTTTTTCGATAGTGGGTCTAAAATGACCAAAAGAAGAGAGATGGTGTTTTTCGACCGAAGAGATTAAGGATGATGGGGTCGCGAAGGGGCATCGAGTTTCAAGTGCTTTCGAGTGAATAGTCGATTGTTTGTTATGGCTGTAATGGGCATTGTTATGAACGTATGGGCATGTGCCATAATTGCATGCATACATAATTGAAACATTTCACTTTTATGCACCATTCTCCCCTAATCGACGCCACGCCACGACAATCTTTAACGCATTGTAAACAACCCAATGTTAATCCGCTTTTTACTCGTTCATTGCGTTGTTATGTTCTTCATTATTATCGTCATATTTTCCCATTCTCATCGTGAATTCTTCTTCCATGTTCGCTTGCTATGTATACACATTTCTATATATTAGGGATATGAAAGTAAAAGCATTTCGCAGAAATCAGAGAACGGCAAGCGGAAATGATAGAAGATGAAATACTGAGGTACCATGTGTATTCTTTTAATATAGTTAAATAAACCAACATATTTGCTCATAAAACAGCGAAAGAATCGAAGTAGAGTCGTAAATTAAAAATTGTGTTCGAACTGAGTGGTTGTGATGTGTATTTATTTCAGTCTCTGTTTTTGAATTGCGGACAGCTCGCTACGAACAGTTGCTAGTCGTTATCGACTTCACGTGTCCATAGACAATATGTGTCTATCATCTGACAAATTCCAATCAAATCCATCTTCACCATCCTTACAATGCCAACACTTCAGTGGATCTCGACCTGTTACAACTCACATCTATTATGCGCCCATCATAATTTCATTATTCATCGTACCCTTCTATTAATGCACTTACGAATTGATGATGTATCAAAGCCTTTTTTCCTGCATTGAAAAAGACTCCTAGGGCATGATAAAGCCAACTTCAACATTAAAGTTTCTGGATTTTGATGTATTTGTTGCTTTTTCGATTATTCATGAAGATATTTGTTTAAATATGCAGTTTTTGTTATTTACGATTAGTGTTTATGTGATAAGAGCAACTTTCTTAATCTACCAAACCTATACTCTGTTCTTAAAAACAATACTGCTACTTAGCTTGGTCATCATTTTCAGCTTAGAAAAAGATACACATTGAATGAACTACACAAATCATTCAAAAGTACCGACTTTAATAATCATTCGCCTCCTCAAAGTAGGTTTTATGGATGAAAAAACCAGGTTGAACGAGCCTTGCTTATTGTTAGGAGGTGAATATACTATTGTTAAATATTTCTGGCAGCTGTTATCTACCCTTGATGGAATGACAACGTGAAACAACGATGAAGGTGAAAAAGTGATCATGCTACAGATATTCTAAGATGCATGAAAATAACTTCCAGCGATAAATAAGAGGAGCATATCTCAGTAGATAATAAAATTCATGGGCAATCATGTAAAAGGAAATCTGGTTGTGAGCAACAATAAATAAATTATTACTTGTTAAAGTTGGGGTGAAAGCACTTTGGACGTTAGTTAAATCATTCAAAACAGGTCAAAATGACGCGAAGAGCACGATGTGGACGTTTAAAAAGTGACGAATTGAAGGCAGCAGAATTCGATAGCAAGTCATACGCACTATATACTAATGGAACGAATTCCGCTATTTCAGTGACCATGTTTAGGGACAGAAATGTTTTAAAATCTCAGTACTCAAATTAATTCATTCTCAATCCAATGGAGTGAAGAAATGTTCAAACAGCTGTGATCAATATGAACGAAAGCAGAATTTGAGAAAGCCAAGGAAAACAATAACTGGTGATCTAGTGAAAGAATATTATTGTCATATATTTGCACCTCTCACTCATTTCAGTAATCTGCATAGCACCTTTCGGTATGTAGATGGAAGAGCATGAAAATTGGGATAAGGATTGTTTAGATATTTCAGCAAGTTGAGAAATAAATCATACGTCAACAGACGACTAAAATCATGATTCAGTCTATTTGGTTAGCAAAAGGAGAAACAGTCTACGTCGTGTTTGTTTACGAAGAAGTATTTCGAGGTTTTATCTCAATCAGAGAATAGGAAACGATAAACGACTATTATTAGTACTAAAAGGAATGCAAGACGAAAGGAGGTCTTAAGAGATGCATACATTAATGTGTGTATTCATCTTTATGAAGTTCAGCAACAAGAATTGCGACATCTAACAAACACGGAACGAATGGCGGCTTCCTTCATAGGAGGTTGCCATAGGACGGTATTCGTGCTGTCTTTATTTCACTGCGATAAAATCGACATGAGTTTGTCGATCGCCGATGGCATGACATCTGTCTGTACTTAGCGCGAATTAACCATGAACAAATTGTTCATGCACTTGTGCATCATCCATGTCAAAAGCAATATGCCTACTCACTCACATTGCACCTCCTACCTATAGTGTATGCTCATCGAGTTGTGACTTGATAACATTCTTTCGGTATAACACTTTCGCTGCGTCACTCTTAAGATTCGCTGTAATGCGAGTTTCGCACTATTATATTCGCATTCAAAGGTAAAAAAAACTTAATCATATTAGACTTCGGCTAAAAAGTATGATTTACGCAATCTTCAAACGCCGCATTAAATACAGACTGTTCTCGATAACAGTCGCATGCATCAAGAGTACTGAACACATCCGACTCAAATATGATCTGTAAGCGACTGGTTAGAAACGTCATCCTTCATTAAGAGAATGTCCAATCGCTTTTCACGAAAAGATGAAGCGAGTATCGAGCAGAATTGAATCGCATTCATTGATTTGATCATCAACAACACATTTTGATTTTATCATAGTTCGTAGAAGATCAACTGCTCACCCCTAAGCGATTCAGTTCAAAAAGAATTGACCGAATTGGAGATTATGAAAACGCTCAAAATTGCTGATCCATCAGATTTTTTCCCATCCATAAACATCGAATATTCGTCGTTAATTCGTAATTATTGATAATAACACGCACATAAATTTAGTGCAGTTTGCCTCATTCCCAGTCGAATTGAATGTCATCTCAACGAATAAATTGTCGTATAATAACCAATTACAAAAGTTGTTAACCATCCGAACAATATGTAAATATTTGCGTACAATTGTAATGTAAAGTTAAGATAGTCAATGATGCATAACTCAGAATATCGTCAACACCAATTCCATTGAATGTTCACATTCTTTGCTGGCTCAAAAATTTTTCTTTTTGTACAAATCCCTGGGGCATTTCTGAATACGAAACACATATGTCAGCAAATTAAAGTTTTCTTGCTGCAATGCGCACTCAATGGAAATGAAACAAAAATCATTTAGTGACGTATGCAAAAGAATTTATGAGGAAAATGAAAAGTTTTGAGGAAGATTTGGGATTTTAGTCGATTAGATGAAAGAGAAAAGATGCAAACTGGAGCTACAAGATTTGTCAGTATTGCGTTTTGGAATTTTGAGATGAAAAAAAAAAAGATTTTTAACCGTTCAATTCTCTCCCCCACGTGCCTAATGAAGTTACATAATTCGGTAACAGCTTTTAAAATGCAAAAAAATTATAATTTCAAAATCAGCAAACGATCACACAACTTTCACAATCTGTTGAATTCGTCGGCTTCACAGAGTTATCATCGATAAGAGAGAATTGAAAAAAATGTGGAAGAAGAAGTAAGAGTATTCTGGATTGAAGTGGCAATCGTTAATTTGCATTGATCAAAAAACTCTAATAATTGAAAAAACTGTCAAATTCATATGTGGCAACTGACAATCAATTTGTGTGTTTGAAACTAGCGTATGTATTCATTATTATTCGGTAAAAATTATTGGATGACTGGAAAGAAACAAATGCGGCAGAGGGAGATGAATATGTTCATTGAAAGATTCAGCTTTAGCACGCATATGGTTGAAAATGAAACTGAGAAAGGAATCATCTTTTTCTGCTGTAACGATGTGGACATTTTTAACATGTGCAATGATTCGATCTTTATGAATTTGACTCATTTCTTGCAGAAATCAAAATTGCTAAAATGCAACAGACTAAACAATTCTGAGCAACAGAAGCCAGAGTGCAACGAGACCAACAATTGTGCTTCGTCTGACGAGAATGACGATCGGCACTTCTGTGTGGTTTTTAATTAGCGGAAATAAGTAAGCCCAACATAAGGTACTGAGTTTTCATTTCGACGATTCCAAATTTGCTTTTTTTTGAGCATTAAATGGTTGTAGTGATTTATAGATTTCGAGGTCACTCGCACTGTTCCCAACACACAAAAGAAGCAAATTGTACACACTAAAAATGTCACAACATAAAAGAATTTAATAAACGAGTGTGTTCTAGGCTGTTCATTGTAGTTTTGCTTTGTACATGCGTATCATAATACATGTGGACATACGAACATAAACAAATACGTATTAACGACTGCGAGAAAGGAAAACTGACAAACGATGTAGATGTCGATTGTTGATAAATACTGCTTCAGGCAAGGAGCGTAGTCGATTACGATTGATTCGTCTGCAAATCGCACCACAATAGATTTTTGTAAAAGCGTGTAAGCTTTTTTATATCAGCATTTTAGGATCTGTTTGGTGAGCATGTAGGAGTGATTTTTTTTTCAAGGCTCATTATTGACTTGAATAACGCTTTGAAAGCGATCGAAAATTTGTTTGAGACAAATTCCAATTGATGGCTTTGAATGCGTGAATAATTTAATTGTTACAATTAAGAGTTATGAATGAAAAAAACGTTAATTGATGCTCTATGAGATTATATTATTATAAATTATATGTTTACTTATCAAACATCATGATCGTCAAATATAACTCCTAAAAGATGAGGCATTTTTGATTGTACGGAATATTCAATGAAGTCGAAGTAAGAACAATGATTATTGATAATGAGAATTGAATGATCACGGGTGAAGGGTGAATTGACTTGATGCATGAAAGTGATCAGAAAAGATTTAAGCGTGGAGATGGGAGATTGTTCATTTTGCTGATTAATCCTTTACTAGTTTCGAACGGTAATGACGAGGCTTCTTGAAAGCGCTAAACACTTATTTTGCCTGTAGCAGGGAGGAAAAGAAAGCGGAAGGCTGGAGATGAGTGACTATCCATCCGCTTGTGGTTAGTTAAAGAAGCGAAGATCAATGTGATGAGCAATAAATATTTCGCCATTTCATCACAGTTCAAAGAAATTCATCTTTTTGCTGTTAAAACTTTCGATGACAGACTTTGTAGTGCCTCGAAGACAGCTGATATGAACCACAATCTATACAATTATTTTGAAATGAATAGGTTTTATTTACAAATAACCTACAATCTTTCAAGTTGTAATAGATTATCGAATGCATTCTCTTCGATCATATGGATCTGATTGTCCATTAATTGCCTAAAACGACAACATTACACACTTTGCACGTTCACTGCCAATCACTCAACACATTTTTGTGAGAATTTGAACCCTCATTATTTATACTTTTACGAACATCCTCAAATTTCAATGAATGCTGCATATTGATGGATCATTTGCTCAGTGTTTAGAATCGAGAAATTAAAATAAATTGCAATTTGAGGAAGAAACGAACAAAATTTTGAGTTGACGAAGTGCGGCAAGATCATCTCTCCTCACCACCGAGATTTTGTTCTCTTGAAGATCCCTGTAAACACATATTTAACGTTTATTGACGGTATTTTAAGCTTTGTGAATGAATGCTAAAGAGCGGAGCTGACAGATATAATTTAACAAGCAGAATTGTTGAATAATGGAAACGATAAAATTATGTGAAAGGGATATACAAGAACGACACATGAGACTTACAAACGTTGGGTATCGGTTGGAATCCCGATAGGAATTCGGGTTAAGCCTTGTCCTGTACATATAACAGTAGTTTGAGAGCATGAACATGACTGTGGACACGGTACAGTGACCGGCACAAATAGCACCAAGACGCCTAGCAGCAACAGCATTTGGTGGGGCGATCTCTTGTAACCATCTCGCAACGGCCAACAGAGCCCCGCCTCTTGTCTTTGCACAGCCTTCCTGCCCCCCTCTGATTGCATATCAAACATGTCCTTAGTGAGGAACATTCACAGAAAGTTTGCATAAATTTATTACTCAAATATCATCTCTTTGTATCAATCTATCATCCACAATGCTCATTTATGGGTTCGTTCGATTATATTTTGAATGGGTGCTACAAACAAAAACAAATGTCAAGCCACAGAGAACGTTTAGGGACAGATTTGAATTCTACTATTGCGTATTTGAATAGTGGTCTCGCCTTCAACATAAGTATCCAACTGAATCGTTTGACGTGAAGCTGCTGCTCAAGAATGACTTATGATACAAACAAAATGACTTAACGCCTTCAAGTGACACGAAAGAAAGCCTCATAAAGACTGGAAGGCCTATTTCAGACAGCAGTTGTCTGAGCCAGCTGTCCTAATATCCCAAAATTGTTTAACTGCAACGAAATCAGTTCATGAATACTCACTAAACAGATGCTAATTGGATTGTCTTTGACGAAAGGATTACTCAACTTCAGAACATCATCTGCAATTATGAACTGAATTAATTCACTCTCTTCGAGTGACTACTGTTATGAGTGAGTGAGATACGATTTATTTTTTAAATCGCCTACTGACAGCTGCTGACTCAAAACATGATGTAACTGAGTACTCTAAAATCATAAAATAAAACCAGCCTGTTTGCAATCATTCTCTTTTGATATATCATATCGTTCAGAACTTGTTATTTTGATCATTGAGAAACCAACGAACTGTTTGGTTGAAAACTTCATTCCGTGAGTGTGAATCTATCAGTAACGCTCTTTTGCTACACTGTTGGTCAATTCCAACTGATGCATCGTTCGATTGCAGTCAGCTGAAACAGAATATGGAGAATTTCCCTCAAGTGCCTGAAACCAAACAGGAGCGATTTTGAAAAGTAGCGACATTAAAACTGAATAGATTCTTTATAAATGAAACCTATACTCTGTATGAAATATTAAGCGGTTAAGAAAGTTACGATTCGTTGTATTTTATATGACTGTATCTGGTTATACTTTTAGTGAACTCGCATCCCGAACTGAGAGAAATTTTTTCTGAATAATTCAAAAATCGGCGCATGTATGTAGAAGACAATTCGCTAAAACACAAAAACACGCGGAAGTATCGAATAGTAGATGAAAAATTACTGTCAATTATTTACTCATGGGCGAATATTGAACTGTAAAAAGTGTGAAGGTCCGTCAACTATGGTTGAAATCATCAAAGTTATAAATGAATCATGTACATACATAAGTCCNCATCCCGCATTTAGCTCTTTTGAGCCAATTGCAATCTTGCAAATCCTACATCTATCACAGTGACTTTAAAATTTACCTGCTGATAATATTGTTGTAAACAGCTTAAGGTTGAAGTTATGAATTATCATTGTCATTCATTTTCAGCTTTCAAAAAATTAAAAACTGTTCGTATTGAAAATCTGATCTTATGAATTTTCGCTTGAATGTACTTCTTGCATTCATTCCTGCTGTCACTTGTGGTCAATGCTTACTCGCGCCACCATCGAGTCAAGATGTTTCATAAATTCGTCTAAAGAACCAATGAATTGGCCTGCTTTTGTTGGAATCAAGTTCAGCTGCGATTGATTTAGCATGAAAGGGCCAACATCAGTTCATCATGGAAATATAGGCATACGAATTCCTTATTTCTGCAGGAACAACGCAAAGTATACGCCGCAAGCAACTGCTCCCAAAAAATGTTTATATTTTGAACGTCTGAAATTAGCAATCCTGGTTACCCTATGAATGAATCGCATTGAATTGAGTTAATTTCAGTCGCAATCAAATTTGATGATCAATCGTATTCAAATGTAGTCGAGTTTCCTACTTTCCGTTGACAAGTTATGGAAGCCTGATATAGCTTATGCGTTATTCGACGTTTCATTGATAATTCCATTGTAAAACTGTTTCTAACTGAGGTGAACTGCGGAATGAAGCCCCGTCCGCTAAAATGATGAAGACGCATCATTAGATGACGCAATTCTAGGCTGATTCATTCTGAGTTGTATCGTTCCTAATTCCCAGATTGTCTATGCTTATTGACCCGCTTTCTCTCTCCATCTCCTTTGTCACGCACACAGATAGTTGAAAGTTATTTTATTTTCTCGTGCACCTTAAAGATTGCCTGGTGATATTGCGATAGTTTTCCAGCATTTATGAGTGAAATTTTACGTTACTTCGGAGCGCCCTCATCAGCGCTTACGCTAGATTTTTTTAAATTTAGCTACCACGTGAACTGTTCATATTGCTTTGATGATCAACACATAAATGTTCATCTTCAGTGGTGAATTCTAGTTTTTCTTTGATCATTTTGATCGCTATTTATGAAAATTATCATTTTTAAAATGTGTATTATGTTTACTATGTTTGTTGTGGCGTTCTACATTAGAGAAATTAGGACTATGCTCACTGCATTGATTTTTATTTCATAGCTCCACTGAGGAAAGAACAAAGTCTATGAATTAACGCATGCTTTTTTCCAATACTTCGCTTTTGTTCGAAGATTTTTTTCTTTTTCATTCAACTCCTACCCACCTTCATAGTTTTAATTACGTGTATACACAAATGAACGTTCATGTACTCAGCGAAAGTCGTTTGTATGTGATGGCTATCTCCTCATATTGCTAATGACACTTTTTTATCGAGCCCTCCCAAACGCGTTTAATGGTCCTCATTTTTCTAAGCAGTCTCGCAAGAAATGCAATCTGGCAGCAGGGATAATATAATGACACATTCAGGAAGATATGCTTTTTTAAATCAGTCGCCTCTAGAAGCTCATTTTGCAACATCAGTATCCGTCACGATGCAACTGGAAAGAAACTTGTACATTACCATGAATGTATCGCATGTTAAACAAATCTAATAACCAAATACAATAATCACGGTGTTAACGAGATATATCCATTTATCGATGATTAAAAAGCGAATAGCAAAGTAAAAACGTTGTTTGCCTTATTGTGAGTGTTGTATAATACTGAATCAAAAATTGGTTTGATGTTTGACAATAAAGGTGCTCTGTTAACAACGATCATGTTACGGATGTCCACAACAACAATCGTCGAACGTGGTTCTTGCTCAGCCTATCGCCATAGTGCATTGAAGGTTCATGCATTCACTACAAGAAAGATGCCCACAAAAAATTGAGTCGCATGAAATGAAACGTGATAAAAGTATGCACATCTTCAACTTTTCCGAATGAGAATGATCCAAATGTATGTCTATGAGTAGTTTTAAAATGTTGACCAAAGTATTTTCGAAAATAACGAGTAAACATGAATAAATCGTAATCTTTAATTGGTTTTTCAATACAACTGATTTACTGACGGGACCAAATTAAACCGGAACTAAATTTTAACTGTTAACTGTTAGAAGGAATCAGAATTTAAAAAGTACTGCAAGTTATGATCGTCTGTTCTCGAAAAGCAGCTATGCAATTAACTTCCTCATTTTTCGAAAATGATCTATGCTGATTCTCATTATTAAAAGCTGCTGATTTATTTAAGTGATTAGTGACACTTTTTGTATTTTTCTTGGAGAATGAACTCAAATACAGAATAATGGTCATTTGGATTGTGAGCCTTTCCAACGAGTGACTTTTTCGTATCAGTACCAGTGTATGACTGTAAAAGGAAATTTAATTCATTATAGATGCATTCAGAAGAGTAATTTCGATAGCGATCTCACGAATTCTGTTCATAGGACACAGAAAAGGAAGCGAACCAACTGGAGATTTGATGAAACAATGGATGTCACAGAAAACATACACACTAGATAAAGTGTAGAGTAGTGACCTCGACCAGAGCGTCGTATTTTTATTGCAGCATTATTCCAATGTATGAATCAACTACTTCAACTAAATGCCTGATGACATTTTTTACTTACTGTGCATAATATATCCTCATACAGGCATTACGTGTACTAACATATAAACCAACGTACTCGGTACGCGGTCACATAACGATTGCAATCTGTCCATTTCATGCGCAATCAGTCGTGTCGAACTTCGTTTACAGCATTCACTTGCTAGCTTTCTTAACCAGTTTCGATGTTTTTATTTTTCTGCGATCATTTTTATCATTTGGCAAACGTTTGTACTCAGTAAGATCCTAATCTTGTCACTTACACACTTGTTCCATGGAGCACTTTCGACTCGGTTCCACTACACTCTTTCCTGCGTAAGAAACATGGTCGTATTCAGGTATTTGCTACAAAATGACGCTCATCAGAGATGCCAACTATTAAAATGTGCCTATCAATCATTCTACTTCTCTTGCGAACACCTGTTTTGCTTAACTGTCAGCGATGGCGACGGTTTACTTCTTTCAACGAATTTCAGTATTCTCATGGTAGCTTTTTTGAATTAAAGTGATAAACTACTGAAACAAATTTCAGCGGGAAAATGCCTCAAAGCAGTCACCGAGTTTTCAAAATGATGACATATCTTTAATTTGTCTAGTGGTTATCAAGAAGTGCTAAGCATGGTTTCAACTTCACTGCAGCCTTAACAGTGGCTTTTGCCGATATTTTCGGTTTGTTGATAGTTCCTTTAATAGGTTATGTCACGATGCTAACAAATCCAGTTCATGATTTCTAATTCTGATGAAATTGAATGCTCTGTTTCAGAAAGTGACGTAAAAGAGTAATAATTTCTTTCTGCTTCAAGACAACCAGTCATCGACGTTTTCATTTGTTAAATCCCATTTCTGTGCGAATATGCTAACCATTCCTTTTTAAAGGCGACTTTCTGCACATTTCAAACGTGAATATTCATACATTCAACACACACTAATGAACCAGTTTTTTTTGGAATTTCACAATTATTAATATCTGATTTAAATATTCCTTTCATCACCAAAATTCCTGTATTTTTAAGCTAATATAACGGTGTTGGTGACAGCACGTTTTGTAAGTTTTATTTGCATGCATGTGAAATAATTGATTTGTGAACCTTCATTTTCTGTATCTTTTCATAAACGTTGAAGTGTATTTATTCGCATGACTGTACCACCACGGTGCATTCCCATCCTCTAATATGTATTAGATGGTGGCGTAGTAGTTTTTTTCACCTGAGATAATGTTAATTTATCTGGTAGTAAAACGAACTGGACAAAGGTCTGCATTTTTGCTCAACATTGACAGCGATCGCCCGGCTGTCTTCTATGCAACGCTCATTTCTCATTTCCAGTTTGATAGATCATTCATTTGTGTTCCACGTATCCAATCATTGATGTCATTATTTCTTCAGTCAGTGGTTTGATGGAAATGATTTTATGCGATAATCCGTATTCATCATACGTAATTGATTTAGTTGAATATTCATAATCGAGTGTTGGTATCTATCATCCTTCATTATCCTCATTATTTATATCGAAAATTCACACATGTTTTGCTAATCGTTGATAATTTTATCTTACGATATTGCTGCATTTCTCGAGCACTTTCCTACCCAAATGACCAATGTGCAATTCCCTATAATTGTTATCGTGATGAATTCTCCTCGAACGTTACCTTCTCTGTCACACCAGTAAGAATAAATGCATCACATTACAAAATCAAGTCAATGAAATCTTTCGTCTTCGCATGAACCAATTCGGCTTTGTTTGATCATTTTCTCTAGGTCAGGCCTTCGAATGTCAAATTCTTTCAACTATCCATTTCCAGTCCAAAAACGTGAACAAGGTGCATGAAAGAATTCGATGATTCATCCTTATGAGACGATACAGTTGGAGCGCTAACAAAAACGTGATACCATGAAAATTCAAAGTAAGCGATCACACATTGTATGTAGTGTTCATGCTTGAATAATGGAATGCTGATAAACCTCCAACCGTGGGTGATGAATCCACATGTAGCATAGTTTTGGTGCACAAAAATGATTTTTCATCAGCTCAGCTCGGAATTATCATCATTACCAGAAGTTGAGATACCTTTTTCGAAGCAATCGCGCTGTGTTGAAGCTAATCATGCTTGAAGCTAATTCTCAGTTTAATCTCATTCTTTATGTTTATTTGTTGTTGTATCATTTAATCAGCCACCGTAACATTCACTTTATGAATTTTGAAACGAATATCAATAAAACGAATTAAAACATTCAGATGCGATAATGATTGTTGAGAACGATGATGTGGAAACGCTACAAAGGGCTGTAATAAATGATGGATTAGATGTGAAGAGTCGAATTACAACTGGACATCTGGGTGGTTGGTCTCTTGTCGATGTGGCTATTCTNATCGAAGATGCGCTTCTTTTTTATTAGATGCTGGAGCGGTACCTAGCACTGAACGTGAGTTTATTGAGCATCTCGTCACGGAATGAAAGTCAGAAACTGACGTCGCAAAAGACAACAAATGATAATCGAAAAGAATTGGAATTAGAATAAAACAACCGTTACCGATATTGCATGACTCCAATCCGGTTGCAACTCATTGGTAAAACGAATACCCAATTTTAGTATGTGGTTCGGAAATGCTATTGAATAAAATTGAAACGTTGCAAAAAAGGACACTGCGAGAGGCAAAGCACTCAGAGAACAGTGGTCTCACAAGTAAGGTAAATATCGAATATTCACAATCAGTTATTTCTGCATAACTCTCCATAGATGCGTTGATATCAAACAACAGGTTCCTAAAAGTGATACTTTATTCAGTGTCATTGCAAGACATGTTTTCATTACTACGATTGTGGTTAAGCTGAGTCAATTAAGGAGAAGAGTCGTCAAATAAAACATCTTGAGAAACAATTGCTACAACTGAGACGAATGAAATCAGTTGTCAAAAATTGTGTCCTTCTGTGTCCTTTCACGGACGTGTACGCTACTGTTACATCTTCTGATACCATCACAGTGGAATGGAAAAAACCACGTCCCCATATAGATTTCGAGATGCTTATTGCTGTCAAAGGTATTCTTGCTAAAGTCCTCAGTCTCTCCAAAATTTCGTTTAGTTGATCATCTAAATTTTTGATCATTTAACGGTCACCTTTATATCTAACTAACTTGATGAAACTGTTATCAAACAAGTTTGCATTCTCAGTGCATTGAAGAGTTATCACTAACAGTCATAACCGCTGCGTCAATTTTACAGACTAATTAGCGAAAGTACGAAATAAATTCTTTAATTGATGATCAGAAAGGATGAAACTTTAAGTATAATACGTTGACAAAATAACGAAGTTGAGACTCTCGTAATTTGATGAGCTGAGAATAGCATTACTTGATTCAGTTTCACTCGCATTTCAGTTGAATGGAGCTTATCTGATAAATTCACTCATGTAGAAGGTGAGATGATTGAGAAGGATCTAAGAAATAATAGGACGCAGATAAGCGGTTTACGCAAAGGCTTACGATACTCAATTCGAGTGAGCCCAGGAAATATACGTGGATTCGGTAGTCCATGCATTGCTACACCACGACTCACACTGCTCTCAGGTCAGTTCTTCTAGATATTTGTTGTTATTATGGATGCACTCAAAAATATTCTGCTGTGCAAGTTATTTTTGAGATGCTTTGATTTTCTGTTCATATCGATATCGATAATGTAAATTCGCTTGTATTGTTTTCTTGATTCGTCAAATTGTCGTACAATTGTTGATGGGCATCTTAAATGCAGATCGAAACAACTCCTATGGTTGAAAAAAGTGCAAATGGAAAAAGTAAAAAAAGACATCTCTTCAGGTTGGGACGATGTCATTGATAACTCAAAGCCAGATGATAGTGTCAATGGAATTAACGGTTTGCTTCAGGATGTCGAAAAATTTCGTCAATCGACTATGTGGCTAACAGGTACTCATGTTTCTCATATACCAGTTTTACTGATCTTATTATGCAATTAGT